CGACAAATCCTCTGAAGGTGCGGTCAGCCTGAGAGTCTGTTCCTTTGAAGACATGGGATAACCACCCTCTGGAGAAAGCAGTAGAAGAGCAAAGGAGTGAGAAAAGTTGATCTGGTACTCAGTAGGATAAAAAAAGATTTGAGATTTCTGAAACCTGCAGAGAGCCTGAGGATGTTGCGTGGGAGAATGGTTCAATAATTGAAGGATATTGAGAAATCTGTCTAATTTGGTACGCAGGCACAGCTCGTGTACCACATGTGCTTTGGCACTCAGGAGAGAGTGGTGCTCAGGGGCACACGCTTAGAGGGGTGCGTGCTAAGTCCTTCGCAGGGATTCAGAAACTCAGTACAAAAATCTCTTTAAAAAAATCTACCGCTGGGGAAGAGGCACTGAGGCTGTCAACACACAGAAGTTGTGAAGTTTAAACCTTGCTTAAAAGCCTCCCCAGTCACCTGAAAATCGCACTCAAAGGCTTTCAAGGGAAAAAAACAGTTTCAAGTTGTCTTTCAAGCTCCTGAACTAAGGCTAAACTATCTCAGTAGGTAACACCTTGCAGTGGGAACAGATCTGTAGCGTGACGAAGATAGAGCTGACAGCCACACTCTACATTTCGGGGGGAAGTAGGGGGTCTGCTTCAGCTGAATAAATCCTGCCAAGGACCCTCAGCCTGAGCACTGGCTGGTAGCTAAATGGAGAGCACCTTCGGGTTGAGCAACAGCTGAAGTGAAGGCTCACTGCCCTGTGGCTTCTCCATCTCTTGGGACAGTGAAACAGGGGCCAACAACAGATTAAAAAACTCACTCCCAAAGCAAATTAAAGAGCTGACATGGGTATACACTGGAAAAGAGCTTCTGGGCATGCCTAAATTTCTTACACCCAGCAGGCAGATCCACACCCAGCATCCTGGAGACCACCAGGACACTGGCCCATCTCTCATCTCAGCTGCAGGATGTTACCTACAAAGCACTCTCCTAGTGCATAGGAAAGGGAAGGCAAATGGTAGTGAGAAGAGGGAAACGAGGAGATAGTGGATGTGCCTTTCCTTCTCCCTTCCTTTCCTCTAGACAGCACTGAAATGGGCAGGAGTGAGTGGAGCCCCCGTGCCCCTCTCCTCTGGAGCGAAGCTGAACCCCCTTTTACCACCTCCTTGGTGAATGCTTAGACCAGCAAAAGCTGTAGAGTACACTGCAGTAAAGTTCTATGGATGTGTATTACTTTGAAAAAATTAATATTTAATTACTGGAGAGAGAATATGAATCAATAATTCAAAAGTAAGGAAAGGCAAAGGGGTGAGTTTGAACCACTGCTGGAGGATGCATTTCACTTTTTGAAACACATAAGCTCTGCTGTTTCTACTAAGACCACCTTTATTACGTACACCTACAATCTGAAAATAAAGCCTTAAAGCCACTATAACTCATCAAAGAAACAATCATCCCTTTCCCTATCACTCCAATCAATGAGCAACATTTAACATAAGGTTTCAAACCACAATTTTGTGCTGCCTTGGGCAGGCTTGAGACCAAAGACCACAGAAGTGCTGGTTGGAGGGGCCTTCTGGAGGTCACCTCTGATCCAGCCTCCATCTGGAGGCAGAGAAAAAGAGAAGAGAGAAAAAATGAGGTTGGGAAACACCAGGATAAGAAAGAAAAAACTAGAAATAATTGAACAACAAAGTCAGGAGGAGGGAGCCAAAATGCTTATGTGCAAGAGCAATGATATTTTTGTTCTAATTTCGTTTCACACTGAGCTTTGGACAAAAAGAGGAAACAAAGGACTGTAGAAAAAGAGGAGATAAAGGATTACTCATACAGAAAAAATAATCCTATTTTTCTAGTGAAGCAAAACAAGTTACTTTATCTAAAGCTTTAAGTTGCGATCTCAACTTCCAGCTGCAAGTAACTGGAAATTCTGTGATTTCAAAGGAGTTAGAAGAAACTCATCTTGCCAAACCCATACCTGTTTGCTTGTAAATACTGTTTCAAACAACTTACTGCTTGTATTGGATTAGTGTGGTGGGGTTTTGGTAGTGGGGAAGGGGCTACAGGAGTGGCTCCTGTGAGAAGCTGCCAGAAGCTTCCTTGGCTCCATGATAGACCCACCTCCAGCCAAGGCTGAGCCCATCAATTATGGTGGGAATGCCTCTGTGATAACGTACTTAAGAAGGCGGAAAAGAGCTGTTGGACAGGAAAACCTGCAGTAGACAGTGGAGTGGGATGTGAGAGAAACAACTACACAGACACCCATGTTATTGAAGAAGGATAGGGAGGAGGTACGCTGGAACAGAGGTTCCCCTGCAGTCCATGGTGAGATGGCAGGCTCTCCCCCTGCAGCCCTTGGAGGTTAAAGGTGGAGAAAAGATCCACCTGCAACCCATTGAGGAACCCATCCCAGAGCAGGAGACTGCAACCAAAAGACAGCTGTGACTCCGTGGGAAGCTCATGTTGTTGCAGTCTGTTCCTGAAGGACTGCAGCCCACAGAAGGAACCCACACTGGAGCAGATAATGAAGTACTGCTGCCCATGGGATGGACTCTTATCAGGGAAGTTCATGGAGGATTATCTCCCATGGGAGGGACACCATGGCAGAGCAGGAAAGAGAAGGAGAAGTCCTCACCATGAGGAGGAAGGAGAAGCAGAAACGTGTGATGTACTGACCGCAGCATCTATTCCCTTTCTTCCTGCACTGCTGGAGTGGAGGAGACACAGAAATCGGGAGCAGAGCTGAGCTCAAGAAGAAGGGAGGGGTGAGGGGAAGTTATTTTAACATGTTGGTTTATGTCTCCCTGTCCTACTCTGATTTGATTGATAACAAATTAAATTGATTTTTTTCTTTTTCAACAGAATTGCTTTGATTGGCAAAGATCATCAAGTCCAATCATTAACCTCACACTGACACGTCCCTGACTAACCCATGTCCCTCAGCACTGTGTCTACATGACTCTTCAATCTGTCGAGGGATGGGGACTCCACCACTGCCCTGGGCAACCCCTTCCAATGCCTGAGAACCCTTCCAGCAAAGAAATTCTTCCTCAGATCCAATCTCAACTGCCCTAGTCACAACTTGAGGCCATTTCCTCTCATCCTGTCACTTGTTACAAGAGACCGACCCCACCTCTCCACACCCTTCTTACAGGTTGTAGAGAGTGAGAATGTCTCCCCTCAGCCTCCTTGTCTCCAGGCTTAACAACCTCAGTTCCCTTAGCCATGAACTCATTACACTTGTTCTCCAGACCCTTCCCCTGCTCCGTTGCCCTTCTCTCGACATGCTCCAGCATCTCCATGTCCTTCTTCTAGTCAACTCTGTTTTGCCTGGGACCATAACTGGTGACTGAACCCTCCCTGTCCTTGTCCTGATGCACGAGCCATTTGTTATATTTTCTCCTCCCCATCCTACTGGGAGGTTGAGGAATGAGAGAGAGATCGCATGGTCCTGCTGCCAGCTGGGGCTAAACCATAACAATGTTCAAGAAAAAATATGTTTTGAAATTGTTGAAATATCTTTTTTACCAAAAGCATATTTTCCAACCAAAAATCTCCTGCTGTGGGGATTACAATGTCTGTACCACAGTAAACTTCAGCAATAGTTTTGGAATATTTAAAATGTGGTATCAAAATGAAACATTCCACCTCATACTTTAAATTTTTTGTAGCTATGTCTCTGTATTACTTGTTTTTGTTCTGATAAATCATACGCAATGTTTTCTCAACCTGCTCTCTCCCTTTGTGGTAATCTGTGCAAGAAGAGCAACATGCTGAGTTACTTGAACTGGCAGAACACTGGATTGACGCACTTTTTCTTCCACGGACAGCACTTAAAACACTTATCCTGTCCTACAGGGGAAGAACTTACTTATTATCTTGGTGTTAAATACAGAACTTAATATTGCCCATACGTAATACAGCAGTACCAGCTTTTGCAACTCCTTTGTAAAACCTGCATCACTGTGAGCGCTCATTTGTTCAATAAGAAGCAGAACAAAAGTTGTAATTTCTCCTCAGATTTTCTAAAAAAAAAGAAAAAAGTAAAAAAGCCTGAGGTGTATTTATTTTGATGAATGGAGACTCCAGGAGAAGTACAGACATAAGTAGGTTAACTTATACTGACACGACAGGGTTAGTCATTAAATGATTAAGTTTGTGAATAAAATCCTGACAAAATTTCCATTAACTTCAGCAGCATTTGGATTTCACCCCAGGTGCTTTCACAGGAGACATATTTCTTTTTACAGTGAAGTAAAAGAAAAAGAAAAAAAAGACATTAAATAGTCCAATATTTGGCACAGCTAGGATCAAAACAATGCACTTAGACACTAACCTACAGCTTCTCCTAAACTATATTTTATCCACACTTCATGAAGAACCTGGGGACAGGTGGTTGTGTGCCAGGCACACTGCAAGGTCATGCCCACCAGGCAATCTCCTCCATGACTCTCATGGACAAGCTAGGAATGTTTAAGTGTACATGGGATTAACAACCATACATGACTTTTTTTTTTTATGCAACTCTACTCACAAAAAGCAGATTGTTATTTGAGGAGGAATGGATCTCAGTTAATTTTAAACATCTTTGGTATAGATGTGAGTATGGACAAGGACCTGCATCCAGCCTAGGGCTAATGTGTCCATCTCAGGGGTCACCTCATGTCCCTTTATAAGCAACGGAGAAAAAAAAAATGTATTTTATGGATATAGCTCATCCGACCCTTTTGCAATGCCAACCAGGCTGAACTGTGGGCTCCAACACCTAGAGGAACCTTGTCTTTTCTGTCTGAATGGGTTGGCATTAAATTGACAGAACAAGAAAACAAATACACAAAACTTTAAGTGTATTCTAAAGTTTTCCCAGCTCCTCTAGCATCCTGGGCTGACTGGCCATGGCATGGCTGCCCTTAAGACTGGAGGAGCTGGTACATCCCAAGGGCCATACCTGCCTCTGTGGCTCATCTGCAGTCATGTGTTTGTCTCTTTTAATGATCCTTCAGTTAATTTTCTTTACAGATTCATTCACGGGACTCATAAACATAATGACTGACATCATTTGGCGCTACACTGGAGATTTCATGGCTCCTGATATTGTTTGCAGAGTCGTTCGCTACTTCCAGGTACAGAAACATCGTGTTTCCCTGTACTCACAAGTTGGCATGGCTTTGTGTCCCCACAGCAATAAATCCTAACAAAAATGCTGTATAGGAATTATTCTAGCATCAGAAGTGCTGAATGTGTACATCTAAAGTTGAAACACTTTTAATTAAAGCATATTAAATGTTTTAAATTTTGTGGACAGTATAAAGGAAAATATCTGGGTGAAAATGCAAGGGGTATTTTTTCTTTTATTTTTTCAGTTAAAGTTTTCAAATATTCCTAGTTCATTGTTCTCGCTGACATTATTTTCTGCAATAAATGTATCTCAACTGCTCTCTCATATACCTTCTGCCCTAGGTGGTCCTTTTATATGCCTCGACTTACGTCCTCGTGTCATTAAGCATAGACCGGTATCACGCCATAGTTTACCCAATGAAGTTCTTGCAAGGAGGTAGGAGAATTTCTCTACCTTGCTATTGCTATGGATATTATTGGATATTTTTTTTTTTAGTTTCAAAATTCACCTTGCTTCCATGAATTATTCATTTCTGCTGTACCAACATTTGGACTCCATTACAGTTTTCCAAATGGCAAAGGAGCTGAGGTTTTGAGATTTATTAAGCTGCACTTAGCCCTCAGCACTTTTTATAAGCATTGTGTTAGCAAAGAATGAAATTACATTTAAAAAGTATAGATATTTTCATTATCTTCCAGCATTTTGAGGTTATTATAGGCAAAAGCTATCCCTTGCAGAAGTATACGAACTCTAGGAGCTGCAACAGCCATATTGTCTATTTATCCACACTAAAAAATAACTTGGATAGAGAGTGCAGTTCTGAGAATTCATACAACAGTTTGTTATGATAACTTCAAGAGCTACAGCATATAAATCTGGATATTGACTGTTACTTTTCATTTCTTCTATTTGTTATTTTTACAGCATTCAGATATATCCTGGCTGCTTAGCAGTACAATTTAAAGAACATGATTTCTTTCCTACAGAGCCTAAAGTGGGATGTTAAGTGTGTTGCACTGAGTGAATAAAGAGAAATAGCAGGTGAGGAGGGAGGGGAACAGTTAAAAGAAACATTCAGGTCTGGAAGGTGCACTTTAATCATACGCAAATAGCATTCTTGTTTTGGAGTAATGATAGCTTTTGACATCCTGCTCTATTCAGGAGATGAGATTAATGGTTCTTTCTGGCCTTAAAAACCTATGAATCAATCACAACCGTAGCAACAGTGCAGCTTTGGCAGATGTTAAGGTCTGAAAACTTCAAATACTTTGTGAAATTGAGCCTCATATTCCCCAGCGTGCTGATCAACTCTTTCAGACGGGGGAATGATATCAAGGGTTACTCAGCAGGCTTTGGGATGCAACACCGATTGCCAGCTGAGCAGGGTGAGCTGGCATTTCTTCTTCATACATAGTACAGAAAAGCAGTACTTGTTAAATTACTGCCTGGGCTTCGTAAAGAATTTGGTGATTAATATTTGCAAACCACTTTGAAGTTAAAAAAACAGCACCAAACCACCTCAAATCTTTAAAAAAGGGTTTTTTTTTTAAACTCAGTCCCATTTCCTATAACTATACCATAAAAGTTTTCTTTTTCTTTTTAAGACTGGAGCAGTTGCACCAAGCCAAGGGGCAGCAGAACCATCAGCTCTGGGGTAGGAGAGAAGCCACGAGCAGAGATAACACTGCCAAACCCACTTGCTGCTGACAAGGGCTGGCTGCACACTGATGGACAAGCAAAGACCATGTTAGAAGGGGAAAAGGAGGCAGCTGTAAATTCAAAAGAACTGAATAGAGAGATGTATTTAAAAGAGAAACTTCCTGGAATATAAATAAATATTTGCCTTTTGCACTCAGCTCTTCCTAGCAGAGGTGTCATAGGGGTGAGGGCTTTTGAAATGCCCTCTTAGCTATTCTGCAGGTAATGAACAAAGAGATTTTCCTAACTCTGTCACTGGTGATGACACAGAGAAACTTTAAAAACAGTTCTGAGGCAACTCGTGGCAAAGTTCTTTTCAAAAGTAAACACTCATCACTCAAAATCCTTCAAACAAGAAACAAAAGATTTGATTCTCCTTACCAATTTTAAAAAATATGTTTCCCTTAGCCTTGAAATATCATTTTGGGAAAAAAAAAATCAAATATTTTGCTTTGAAAAAATGTCAAAATTTTTTTAAATTATGGTTTAGTTTCTAACCTTAAGTCATGTTAAGAAGCATTTGCAATGAATGATCTTTTACTTGGCTTCTAAGAAAAAAAACTCCAACAGTTATATATCTTATGCTGACTTTGTGGATACATAAATGACCAGAGAAAGTGTGGGATGAGAAAGAATTATACATTCTAATCCTAACGCTTTTACTATATGAAGTACATAATTCAAAAATCACAAGAATCATTAAAAAAAAATTAAAAAGATTGAAAAGAAAAGAAACTGAGAAGTTAGAGCAGAAGACATGTTATGAATATTTCACCATGTTGAAAAGGTGTGTGCAAACAGTGTACAAAGTAAGCAACAGGTGATGAAAGAACTGCTTAAGTAAAAGACAAAACCCAAATAGGTGTAAACTGTCCCTTCCATTGCTTTGGGCTGCAAATGACACTAAAGTCCATCAGGTCAATGAGATTCTGGAACAGTTTGCTCTGGATTTAAAACCTCATTTTAAAACGGCACTCACTTTATAGAAGAATCATGTAGCATTGCCATTCATGGCAGCAGGGAGTAAAACTCCTCACAAAAGGCACCTCCCAGCCACAAAAACAACATGAAACCACAGCTGCAGTGCATGGATGGGGCAGCGGAGCAAAGGGGACAGTGACATGACAATGTCCTTCAGGACAGTCAGTGCCAGAGATCACAACAGATTCCCATTCCAACCCCGGGTGTCAGTCTTGACCACCACAGTATGAAAACCTCTCCATTTAAAGAGCAATATTGCTTTTAAAGGAAAATACTGAGACTGGCTGAATAAAATATCCTATTACAAAAGCTGTTATTTATTTGATTCCATTTAGAATTGATATATTTCTAGTTATGTGCTTTGCTGGCCTTTAGAGAATATTAGAACATTTACAAAAAAACCCCAAAATTAAAAAGTCCTGCTTGTAAAGCAGCCAATTAACATTAGTCTGAGAAAACAAAAAAATCTACTTACTTAGATGCTATCAGTACCCTGTAGAGCCCTTAGACAAGCAAGGCTGTCCACTACCAAACACGGGGGACATTTAAAACAAGACAAAATAAACACTGCAGGCAATGTTTTATAAAACACAAAGATAAAATACCACTCTTGCTAACCCAAATTTCCCACTTCTCTTCAAATTAAGAGCATAGCTACACAGTGCAAAAAATAAATTATGTAATCCAAGTATGATTTTTTCCCCCTTAGAAATAGACACCTGGTCCACACTGAAGCTTATATATGTAGTTTAAGTAGCTAGTTCACAGCTGAAAAGTTCTATATAATATATGAAATATTTTGTGAAAATTACTCTTTCTATTCCTTTTGCTAAGTTTATTCTGTTTTGCTTTGGGAAACTTTACAGTTCTCCTTTGCCTGTGCAATTTTTATAGGCTTAATCTAAATCTCTCACTTACGTAGATGTCTTCCGAGTTTCCTTAAGCCCTGTATTTCCTTAAGCAAGACTGTATTTTGCTGAACGTTGGTAGCATTAAAAAATGAACAGGATAGATGAATATTTGCAAGTGATGTCTTATAAAGCATAAAATTACTTTTTTGAATGTTTCTCCCACAAGCTTTCTTATTGCTCTTTGAGCATCAAGGAGGAAAGACGTTCCTCTTGATATGCATAATTTAAAGTGATTTTCTGTTTCACACAAAACCTCGGGTATTATGTAGGACAATAAAGTATTTCAACATCAAAGCTTCTGAGAACAACAAAAAAAATATCTGTCCCCATCTGTTCCTCTCACAGTCTGACTCAGGAGGACTAACTGCTGCTGAGAATCACCAGTACTCCACAGATCAACCCCTTTCCCCCCACACTTCAGCTAGAGCTATGTGGATTTTAGCCTGAAGATGCAGATTTTTGAAAATGAAAGGTTTGAGGCTCTTGGCTTTAACACATTGAATTTTACAAAATCACATAGGTGCCACCAGGCATCATTTGATTTTTCCACCAGTTTTCCCCACTTGGCAGCTGAGGAGGCCAGGAGTCAAGTGGAAGTAGTATCCCAAACCTGCCAAGCCCTCCAGGATCCTTAAACTCCTGATCTTCACCATGAGATCCAGCAGGATCTCCTAGTTGATGTCTATTGTGGCAGACAAAATGGGGCTGAGCACTTGAGCACCAGCCCATCAGCATCTGCCCCATCTCATGGTTAGCAATCTATCCTTGCCACAGCTTAGGGCACATGCCCATCAATAGGAGCTGCATTCGGTCCTTACCACTATGCAGAGAACTGCAGAAGATGCCAAGGCTCTCCAGGACCAGGTTTCTTTGGGACAGTAAAATTGCAGCTGCAGTTGAAGGCAGCTGGTTGTGCAGTTTTGTTCCCATCCTGAATTGAGGCATTTTGTCTTTCCTGATGGGAAATGTTGTGCAAGCTTTCTAAATACAAAGTGCATCAAAAAGTTGAATTTCCATTCCAAGGATGGATTTCATCAAATTTCCACTCCAAGCAAATTTGCCCTGCCAGTACATCCAGTATGCTCCAACCTAGTAGAAGTAATGCTCCCCAATCTCAGCCTTCCCCTGTTATCTGTAGCACAAGGTCTCCTCCACATTTTCTGTCTCTGTCCTCCTACTGACCATGGCTTTGCTGTGCCACGGGTAAGAACCTGCAGCAGGGCAGGCCTGTGGTCCTTTGCATTCATTCATGATGTCTTGGTGGCATAAAGGAACTATTTACATCACACGTTTCTAACTTGCTGACCCTGAGCAGTGATTTTTCTCGTAGCATTTCCGATTCAATGGGCCCTTTGGATCTTTAAATAAAACATATAAAAATACAAGCCCATAACAACATGACTTTTTATCATGAGACTGAGATTAAATCCCCATTCTCCTTTGCAGTCTTTTCAGCATCAGTCAGCTGCAGCCCCAAATTCTCTTTCCTCACCTGGTTTCCTCCTCACGGCTGCCTTTTTATCAGTGCAGCTACAAGGGGCCAGTTGTGCCAGCAACCCCATTACAGAATCACAGCATTGCCCAGATTGGAAAAGACCTTTAAGATCATCAAGGCCAATCATTAACCTCACACTGATAAGTCCCCAAATAACCCGTATCCCTCAGCACTATGTCTACACGACTCTTCAATCCCTCCAGGGATGGGGACTCCAACACTGTCCTGGGCAACCCCTGCCAATGCCCGAGAACCCTTTCGTCAAAGAAATTCTTCCTCACATGCAATCTCAACTGCCCTTGGGCCATTTTTCTCTTGCCTTGTTACTTGGTTGAACAGACCCACCCCCACCTCACTACACCCTCCTTTCAGGGAGTTGCAGAGAGCAAGAAGGTCTCCCCTCAGCCTCCTTTCTCCAGGCTAAACAACCCCAGTTCCCTCAGGTGCTCCTCATCCCACTTTTGCTCCAGACCGTTGCCCTTCTCCGGACACTCTCCAGCACCTCCATGTCCTTCTTGGAGTGAGGGGCCCAAAACTGAACCCAGCACTCGAGGTGCTGCCTCACCAGTGTCGAGCATAGAGGTTAAGAAAACTTCCCTGGATTAACACTGTCTGTTTGTCTCTGTTGCACAGAAAGACAGGCGAAAGTTCTTATTGGAGTGGCCTGGAGCCTCTCTTTCCTGTTTTCCATACCAACTCTGATTATTTTTGGGAAACGGAAGCTCTCCAACGGGGAAGTGCAGTGCTGGGCTCTCTGGCCTGATGACTCCTACTGGATACCCTACATGACGGTGGTGGCTTTCCTGGTGTACTTCATTCCTCTGATCATTATCAGGTAAGCCTGAAGTGCAGTCAGCAAGGATGTGGTGAAAGCTGTCAAGTGTGCTATCAGTTTAATGCTTTAATTTCTATTCATTCATTACGATTTCATTTCCACACCTGCTTTATAGCTGTTTCGGTTTTTATCACACCGTACACAGGTCATTTGCCCTGGGTGTTCTCCATGCGGTGTTAATAGCCAGAAATATTTTCTCTGAAAAAAGGACTGAATCTCTAAGTGTACCCACTTATCTCTACAGCTTCAGGCTTGAAACCTGTCTTTATAAATCCAGTATGAATGTCTAGCTGTTATGACAAAATATAGTTTTTAATAAAAGAAGAGGAAACCACACTTAACACTAATTAAAATTAATTTTAAGTACTCTCATGCTTCATAGTACTAGAAGAGTGTTTCTTCACCAGGATCGGAAAGAAATCTCCAAGCTTTTGAAGCTGCCAACCACTCCTAAAATACAAGCAAATAAAATTCTTCCCATTTTGTAATAGGAAACCTGAGTTGCAAATATTTGAGACTGATTCGCTCAAAATCACAAAGATGATCTGGAGTAGAGGTAAACTGAGGTCAACCAGTATGCCAGACTGTGCTTGGTGATCAGTGAATTTTATGGCCACCCTCTGGGGTGATGCCATTAAATGTTGTTAAACTAAAATTATCTAGCCATGAGGCGCTACCAACACAAAGAAGCCATCAAAAACTGATGTGGAAGGGGAGTGAGACTTCTTAAATGCCTTAAATGCACGAAATGAAAGGCTGCTGGTGGCAGTAACTTGTTCTCCAAGCCCTTTCTTTTCTTCCCCTTTTATTCTTTTTCAGCAGCAAAGTTACACTAGGATTTGTTGGTATCCATTGCTTCTTACTGGCAAAGAAGACTTGCATGGTTGTGTGAAACATCTCTGTCACACTCACACAGATTTGCACGCTTTCTACTACAGACCAGCCACTCCTTTTTACATAGCATATATACTTGTTTGTCAAGAAAAAGCAAGCTACATTTTTCAGAGCAACACATTTCTCAGAGCTGCTGACATGACGCTCCCCTCCTCCCTGCCAAAGGAAGATACTCAAACCAGATCAGCTCTGAGACTTGCTTTACAGGAAATCCCCAGAAGCAAGAAGGGACGAAGACATGAGGGAAAGGGAAAGTCAGTGAAAATGGCATTTCATCAGATTGCCCTGACAGCTGAGATGTGAGTAAAGCATTCTCGAATATTTACATTTTTAACCTTAAGTGACTTTCAGAGGAGAAGTTTATGGCAGGACAGGAACTTAAAACATTGTCCTTGAAGCCACGGGGCAAGGCGGTGCCCATTGTCTGCCCGAACACGTTCCTGGTTTCAGTGTACACTAAGACAAATGCTCATGCATCCTTGCCAACAGAAATTAAATTCTTGACAGATCCTAAGTGGCACTGGGCACTGCAAGGAGGAAAGGGAGGTAAGCCAGGAAAGAATTTTTTTTGTGCCCATTTATTTCTAAGTTGTCAGTGATGCAATTTTCTTGAGAATAGAGAAGGTTGTCTAAAACCACATAAAAAGAGGATTACCATCAGAGCAAGGTCAGCAGAGACATTATGAACAAATGCCATGCAGTTTGGAAAGAACTGGTTATATTTTTAGAACTTTTTTCAAGTTTCAAGCATACAATTGAAGGTTGCAGCTTCCCAGCTGATGTATCTGTAAAACATCTGTCAACATAGACTCAAGGAGAGACATCTATTTTTTTTTAATTTCTTGGCAGTCCAGGAGTTTAGAGCTAATCCACCTAATGTGGCCACAGCATATAAATACTCTGGTAAGCAATTTGCAGCTAAAGAACAGCAGGTTTTTTGAATGGCTGTTAATATCTCCAGGGACTCAATTTTTCTGCAAAAGTTTTCTTCCACCCAATACTTTCAGGCACACAGTAGGTTTGATGACAAACAAGATGCTGTTTGAGAAGGGTGAGAGAGATCACATACACTGTGGTTATGTGTTACTCGGCCAAAAGATTAATTATAAAAATGAGAGGTGTTATTTAGTAAATGAGGGAAGGCATTTTTGTGATTTATTTTTAATTTAATGGCCTTTTGCTGAAAATGTTATTAAAGAAAGGCCATAACATAACGATGGAGAGACAATCCATAAACGTGTGACTGAAAAGCCAAGGATCAGTATCTAAGAAGCCGGAAATACAAATAAACCAGAATCCAAGACACACCAGACTTACTGAGGAAGTGAGGCAGGGTGCACAGAGAGAAAGAAGATGACCTTTTCTGTAATAATTCATCTTATTTGCTCAACTATTTTCACTGCTGAAGCACTCTGATTTAGCTGCATGGCAGTTGCCTGATGCAATGTGGGACACTGGCTGGCAGAGTTAATTCTTAATTAGTTCTGCTGCCTGAATCTGCTGAAAACCTCTAGAGCAAAGCAGTTCACTGATGACAGCACTTTTTCTGGTGCAATCATCCGAAGTGCATACAAAGGATAAAATTTTACTTTTCAGGTGCAGGACTTAATTCCACACTAGATACGATGCTTTGGCTGAGCACGTTTCACTTCCTACAGTCCAGGTACCATCACCTTTTAAGCTTCTCTCATCTATCCCTCAGCTCTCTCAGCAGAGCTGGTTTCACGTGTTTCTGACACAGCCTTCAACTAACTCACAGGAGCTGTCTTATTCATAATGCCACAGCCCATGGAATGAATTATTTAGCTGATAACTTTATGTTCAGTCTGGAAAACCCTTTCACCAATGAGCTAATCCCCCCAGACATGAGCAAACCCTATAGATTCCAAGCTGAAACAGGAACCAGAAGAAAACAACAATCTTTCTCTTTTTTTAATATATATAAAAGGCAATCTCTGAACAAAACTGCAACAGCCCTGAAAGATTTAAATATTTGGGAGGTCTGTTCCCACCACTGCTTCACAACTGGAGAATCAGCAATCAGTTATCAAACAGCTTGTGGTTTTGTGGCGATTTTTTTATCTGATTATAATACAAACTAACAAGACCTGAATAATGAAAAGAGAACGAGAAGCTGTGATTAGATTTTTAACCCAAGTGTGTGGTTATCTTTGAGAGCTGAGAAAAGGGAAGAATATTTGTTCTTTTAATGTAAAATCTCCCCTCCTCCTCCCATTTCTGTGTCAGTCAGGGACAGCCACAGATCCTGCATCAGGTTCTTAAAAATTTGGCCTATTCTTCCTTCTTATTTAGATTAATCCACCGCTTTTTCTGCAATTGATATTATCAACCTACCAAAACCGAGAAAATTCAGAAAAATAAATTAGGCAACCCGCAGTAATTAGTTCTCTCCAATTCTGGGACAAGTGTCATCAGCTATAACCAAAACCATTTCTCCTACGCCAGGATACGCCAAGCAAAGCTCAAACGGTATCTGTGATAGTTGAAAATCTCTGGGGCATTGTTGAGCAGAGGTTAAATATGAGTCAAATCAACATTTCAGACTACTCTCCTGCAAATATTTGCACCTAACCTCCTCGGGTCCTGAGATGGGGAGACAGGAGAGCTACTGGGTTTCTGTTTTATATTGCTACTCTGTGCCAAACCATAATTATATTCTAGCACTTGCACATCCAGCAATTCAGGGTCTTTTTAGCTGTTATTCATGACTGCTAAATATAGCTTCTACATTTTAACTGGTATATGTAATACATAGACATTTGTCTAACATAATTCCAAACTCAGGTTAAAAAAAAAATTACAAAAGTTCCTCTTGAAGCACAGAGGAAAAAATATCCATCTGCTGTTTAAAATCAAAACTCCAAAGAGAACATTTGCTTTGAAGCAGGAGAAAAAATAATTAAAAGGGAAAAAAAACAAATCAGCTAAAAGGAAAAATATGGAACTGAAAACAAGACCTTGCAATGAAATAGAAAATAGATTAAATAAATGGTATTTGTCTGAATTAAATAAAAATATCATTAATAAAAATACAAAAAGTCTTTTTTTTAGCTTGATTCAACAAGCACAATCATTTTTGCCTGCAATTTCAATTTCTCATTAAAAAAGCCTAGATCTTGCACATATTTTCTAATATCTGCCCATCTATTCACTTAGTCATTACTCGTGCCTACAATGATTTGTTCCAATGAAGTTATATATGCCTTTTGTCTTTGGATAAAGAGAATTGTAAATTAGCTACGGTAAAACATAATGCAGCTGCATCACTGTGCACAAATAAAGTACAAGGAACAATAGAGAATGCCGAATGATAAATACAAGCAATTAGCAGGGAGCTTATGTTTAATTTTTCCCGTTGTAAAGGTTTATTTTACTAATAAATACCGAGGTTGGGTAGGATGCTATCGTATCACAATCACTTACTAAAAAAAAGCTTTGTGTTTAAACGTGGGCAGATCAATAACTCTTATGATTATTAATATCAACACATAGCTTTACCAGGAGAAATTTTATTTTCCAAAACAAAAGTGATCTAGGAATTAAAAATAAAGATGGAGTGGGACTATTTACCGTACCATCTTTATCACTAAACCTTAAGCTAGTTATTTACATGGACAAAGGCTTTAATTACCAGTGAGGTCAAATTAAACAACACCATTAACTAATAACATGCTACAATGAACATGCATCATTGTCCTTCAGAATTTGAATCAAGCAAAATTGCTTTTGGAGATGCAATGAATTTAATTTGCTGAGTTACATCTGTAGTCTGAACCATAATCTTGTATTTTCCTGCTGCCTCTTATCATGCCTCTATATGCATCTTATCAGGGCTAGAAAAATCACTGCATTTTCAGATCAACAGTATGCCCTTTCTATCCTGTGGTCTTCACAGCCTGAGCAGCTCCTTCACAAAAAGGCTTGGATTATTTTTCCATCCAGGTTTGGCTACTCCAGCTGAACTCTTTCTTCCCTTTCTTTAGTCTCTTACCTGCAAATAATGGGCCACAACACTTATATAATGTAGTAATACCATAGTATGCATGAAAATGCCTATAGGATGTATTTATAGAGCCCTCAGAAATCTCCAGTGAGGGTTGGAAGACCAGTGTATTACTTACAGACACAAAGAAACCTGATGACATCTGGACCTAACAAACTACACATCATATCTCCTGGTACTTTCAGAGGGGATGAGAGCAAGCAGCACACAGGCACGTTATGTGTGTTAGAAAATGAAGTTTGTGGTAATGATAGGCTTGCCATGCACATGTCTATGGTGCATAGACATCTTGGCAGTGGCAGTTGAGCAGCTTGATGTTGAGAGGAAGGAAACAGATTACGATATGGTCAAGATGGTGCAGAGCATTGTCAAACACCCTCCTGTACATCTGAATGACAGTTGTCACCTGCCTCCCTTTACTCATCTGCCACTTTATTTCCCCTTCAAGTGGGAATTTCTTCCCACCTTTTGAGATGTCACCAACTGCCAAGTCCTGCTCCAGCCACCTCTTACAGAAAGAATGAAGCTACAAATGCATTCTGAAAAAAAATGGCTTTTCCTTTGTAAGAAAAATACAGCTTCTCTTCCATAAGTGCTCTCTTTTTATTGTTATGGATCTGAAACATACATACAGATGCCTTTTATGATCTTAAGCTTTGGGTGACACATTTCTGGAAAATCCAGTTTGTTAGCTCCATTCCAGCATATCTGGGGAAAAAAGAAGATGAGGCACTAGTAAGATCTGGAGTCCCAGAGAGACCAAAGCATAAAGACATAATTGTTGTTGGCTAAATGGTGCCTGATCCAGCATAGCAAGTGACTTCTCTTTCCTGACATCCACCATGAGTTTTATACCACCCCTGGTCCCCTCTTGATAAGGAAGGGTCCAGTGGATCCAGCTATAGAGAAAAGAAAGATGAATAGATGCAAAAACACCAGTACAAATCCGGTGTGTTTTCAGTGCTTTGGAAACCACTGGATTAAACTAGGAATTAAACTTTCCCTTAGACCTCTAAAAATTAAGGATTCAAATGAAATAACATGTAATCTCATAGGTGAAATGCCAAGTGAAAAAGACAATCATTATAACTGCATCTGGTAAAAGGGATGATCCTATCAGACTCTGCAGCAAAGAGGGCAGGATTTCTGAGGTCAGAGGGAAAAAAAGGCAAGTGAAGAGCCTGATTTCATAAATCAGCACTTGTGGCACTTGGCTGGAAGTAGGGAGTCTGAGTATTTTGGATATGGCATTAGGCTCCTTCATCCTGATGCTTAAGACAACTCTGAATGTGTCCTGCTGGACATATGCAGGTCTGCATAAGAGGGGCTGTTGTTTAAACTGCAATTAAAAAGATCAGGCTAGAGACAGCAGGCTAGGAAGAAAATAGAAATAAGACTTTTAGGAGCCAGGTAGAAATTTTCTTGAGATAACAACGATTATCATTATAATACATTCTTTTTCATTGGAACTATCAAAGGAGAAATGATACAAGAATTTTCCACCATTGTCAGTACAAAGGAACACTGAAGTGCACCAGCTGATAAATAAACAGGTTCTTGAAAAGCCAAGACATAAAAGGAAAATGTTCAACTCATCTGGGTGTCATGCTGGACCTTTGAAAGGATTAGGGAGGGCAAGCTGGAGTCTGTGGCAGATGCATGCAAAACCCTCACTGGGAAAGTATATTACTATTCTGCTGCATGGCCCGGAAGACACATTGAATTCCCAGCTCTCGTCTATTGAGCCTGGAAACCAGATGGCTCAAGCTTCCACAGAGAGGAAACCTCCAATACACAAAAATACTACCCTTGCAAGTGGATCTAGCAATTGAGGTTGCTGTAGGAAAGGCTTGTATATCAGTTTGAAAGCTCTAATAAAAATAATGTCTCTTCTGATAATAAAAAATAAACCACATGACAGTAAGGCACATTTTGTCTCTATAAAACACCCTGAAAAAATCTCCCTAGTCACACTTTTTTCACAGAGTCACCACTAATTTTTACGACAATTAATGGCAATTAATAAACGCTGCTGTGTATTGCAAACAGCACATGATATCTTCTGGTATGATGCTCGGTTTTTATATCAGAAAAACATGGCAACCCGAGTGCTGAAATACTTTCAAATTATTTTTGTCTTCTTTAGTAAACTAAAAAGAAAAACACCAGTCAAAAGTATGCTGTTGCTTAGTGATTTTAGCTGCACGTTACGTACACTTGCAGGAGAAAAAGCAGACAGAGCAAGGCCTCATTTTTTTTGTGTAAACTGCTGAAAAGCTAACATCCTCATGGAGGGTGTGGGTTCAAACAGCTCTTCAGCTTGAAGGAATTATTTTTACGTATTCTGTATTAAATAAATACAGTTCCAGATTTCCTATTGCCTAGGGATACATCATAACCATCTGAGGTCATTGTGGACTAGGGCACTTTTTATCTTTCCCATTAAAAGTCTATGTATATTCCCCTCTAAATATGCAAATTGTGGTGGATCTGGTTTTGAATCTTCTAACTCCTCCCATCTACCTGATATTTCTGTCCTAAGACCTTGAGACCTGAAAGTGAGCACTGTGGTATTTAACTGCATTTTTCATGGATCATGCCTTTCTTGAATTCCCCAGGATACTATTTTATTCGTCAGCTTCATAGTCCCAAAGTAACACCAGAACAGAAGCGTACATGCAGCAAGACCAGGTCCTTCCCCTTGCTTCCTCCATTTCAGGATTAGTGACCTGGGGCTGGTAGCCAGGCAACTTTGGTCAAGGCTAGCTCAAAATCCTCAACGAGCTCTTGCCTGAGAGATCTTGGCCAGATCACTGCATTTCTCTGAGCCTCAGATTTGAGATCTGCAAATCCAGGACAATGATAACAACTTCCATAGTGAAAACTCTTCAGATCTGTTTCTGAAAAGTATTACGGGAGAGTCATATTTTATTTATTACTGTTGTTGTCATTATTTTTATTTTTCCTATGCAGTCCCATCATCTCTGTGAGTTCCTTACGCACAGATAGGTGTATTCATAGAGCACGAACAACTGGGATGTCAGTTCAATTTACTGTGCCTCATAATACCAACAACTCTTTCCCTTCTGTAGCGTCATATACTCAATCGTGATCCGAACCATCTGGATGAAGAGCAAAGCTCAGGCTGTCATCATAGCCAGCTGCCCTGGTGAGTCTCAGCACACACATGTCTCCAGCCTTGTGATTTGAATCCAGTCAGTCAGCAAATCCCCCAAATCTGTGAATACCTGGACATGTGGTGTTATGTTGGGCCCCCATCACTGAGGTGGGAATGGGTTTTCTGTTATTGCTCATTCATAATTCTTTTCTACATTATTTACATTATTTCCTTTGACACCAAATCCCCTTCAGAGAAATGATAGAAAACATCTGCAGGAAAATAACTAAAAAGTAAAAGATCTTTATTCTAGAACTTAGAATCCCTGTTCCTAGAACTTTGTTCATTTCCAGAATATTTTTTCCTAGCATATACTTAGACAATACTTTTGCTATATTTTCATGTGCCCTTGCAGTTGTGGATTTTGGTCAAGCTCAGAAATTCCTGAGCTGAGCTTTCCAAAACCATAAACATTTCTGGACTGTTCTGAGCTATTTTGGCAAAGAGCACAAATCATTGCAAGGTCCTCACTTGTCCACTCTCTTTCCTATTAGGTATTTAAAAAGCATGTTCATTTACACTAATGTGTTTTATAAGATAACTGTAAGAGCACACAATCAGTTAGTGCAGCCAAGCGGTGAATAGAAACACATCAAACCAGAGGGACCAAGTTGCTGGCACCTGTCTGAAGGAGGATCAGGGATCATGTCTGGTACCAGAGGAAGTATCCTAATATGATGTTGCATGTATTCAGATATCGTTATATCATATCCTGACATCTGCCAACTATAAGAGTTACTCCTCCTTTGAAAAGCTTGAGCAGGACTGATTTCTAATGATCCTGCCTTCATGACAAAATAAGTATTAACTAGTCTTCAAAAAAAGGTCATTCTCCTCATCCAGGAGGTATATTCTGCTCTATAAGTCACCAAGTGATTTCCACTTATGTTACATATGGACTAATTTCAAGTTTCTACATGGGATATTTCGCTGGTAACAAGCCCGCATAAATTTTATTTATATTTTCTCTTTACAAGTTACACAGCCTTGATACACTGTTTTTATAAGAGGTGCAAGAAGTTGTGTACACAGTCATTTCCAATGACATTAATCAAAATTCTAGTCCTAAATTTGGACCACAAGAGTTTAAAGATATTTTGATTAAAAAATGACCTTCTTGTGTATTCACTATGGTGAATCTAATTATTCTGACCCAGCAACATGAGCAGCAAATTGACACTAATAATGAAATCAGGCATATTATTGTAATCATGCTGGTACTGTTATTCAAATACAGAAATTGATGCTCAGAGACATTAGTGTGACTTCAGCGGAAATGAGATCAACCAACCTTGATGTGAGACTGAATAGAATCTGCTTCTCAATTCAAGCCACACTTCATTTCTGAAAAGCTAGTCTAACAGTATTTCGTATTTCATTACTGAGTCAACACGGAAAGTAAAATGTCTGACTGATTATCCAAAGCATCAAAAAGAGTAAGAGGATAAGGGAATGGAGTATGTAGCTTTTAAAATCCTTCTGACTGAAACAAAGTGAACAGGTAATCTGTTTTGCCAGGTTGTTTCTTCTCTTTTTTTAATTGTATTTGCCACTCCCTTTCAGAAAATGTCTCCTATAACATCACTCTGGTTGCATTTTTGTGGCTGTGATGGTGTGTGGTTTTTATTAGACTGATACAGTTGGGCACACAGGCAGTGGTTCTCCTGACTGTCAAGGAATACCCAGCTGCCACGATACTTCAGGAAGATCTCTTCTGCTTACATTTCCCCTTTCAGTTTTGGGTGGGATGGGCTACATACTGCTGTCCTGCCTGCGGAGGTATGAACTGACTCATCCACGCACCAGCTCTGCTTTTTACTACTCAAACTGTTCTTTCCCCAGGTGGCAAAACTTCTGCTGGCTACACCAGTCGTAGGTTTATATCCAGGGCAAAAGTGAAAGCGATCAAGTACAGCTTCGTGATCATCCTTGGTAAGTGGAAAGCCCCACATCTGGTAGGTGGGGAGGATGATGATGATGTTAGGAAGTTGGTCTTCCTCAGCTCCCTCCACCATCAGCAGATAAAGTGCAGTAGATGGCTCAGAGAAGGAACTTTACTTAGACCCTCTGACCTTGATCTTCCCCTCTCCTCTGCCTGATAAGCTCCTATTTTAGGCATCTGACAGAAGCCTCAAATGAAATTACATGCACAGCCCCTCATGTGCATAAATAAAACAAAGGAGGGACACTGCCTAAAAGGAACGGAGAAAAGGGTCATCTCTTTCCCATCCAGGCTGCTGAAAAACTTGCAACTGAGTTGTCTTTTAGGTTTAGAGACTATGTATGGTGTGTCAGGTGCTGGGGAGGAGAGGCAAAGGATGCAGAGCAATTGAGTTTGATGTCAGAAGCGTGTTGCCTGCCGAGGTGGAAAGAAGGAGCTCTCCTTTCCAAAATGAGGAGCAGATGACTCAGTGCAGGTGTCCTCCGTTTCCCAGGGAGATGACATTATTCTGATGGAATTAGGAGGCTGACATTCTCTCTCGATAAATAAAAGCAGCGTCACACAGGATTTGTGATTAGCAGCCAGAGACAGGCAGGAAGGTGACTGAAGCTATTTACTCACCAGGGCTGACAGCCATCCCCTACCATGGAAAAAGCGACTGCTCCTCTTTCCAACTCTACACAAAATTCAGATTGGATGATATTGTGATAGTAGCTACTACTGAGGTGCTTGGTCCTCTGTTTAGTGGTAGCATGTGTAGACATGACAGAGGCTGGTGTGATTCATGCTTTTCAGAAGTCCAAGAACAGCTTCTGTGTGGCTGAATTTTTCTGCGTGGCGATCAGAAAAAGCTTTTGTCAGAAACAACTACTATCACAACATCATCAGATGGCAAGAGCTCACCTGGATGCTCAGTATTTCAAAGGACCTTGATGATTTTAGGCACCTAGAATCTCTTGAAATCCAGATTAAGGCACCTAACTTTCATGGATTTCTTTAAAGTCACTTGAAGTTCCACATAGTCAGTTCTATGATCTATACATTGACAATGCATATTGCTATTTTGGTATCTGTGCATAGACACTGCCAGTTTGGTTATTCCAAAAAAAAAAAAAAGAGGCAAGACAGTTTGCCTCTTCCTTGCACATTCAGTGAGGGCTGGGCTAACTACCAACTAACAAATACTGATTACTGCAACAAGAAAGCAAGTGTGGAGTCACTCTGCTGTCTCATTTGGGCCAGGGGGAGATCACATGTCTGATTTCACAAATATCTCTATATTTGTGACTCAAGTATTTATGGCTTAGTTGAGTGAACTGCCTGTCCCAGTGTTTCTATGCAAATCATTAACTAAAAGTCTTTGTGAAAAGAGATGATCTAGAAATTTATGAGGGATAGATTTATTCCCTATGTCTGCAAATAAAGGTCAACCTACAACTTTTTTTATTTCTACCACCTCTGAACAAAAGCAGGGACTATGAACAGTGCAGTTCTCTCTTCCCTTCCCCAAATTAATCTCTCAAATTACAGCAGAGGAATTAGAGAGCCTTTCCACATTCTTCACATAGACAGCACCTCCAACCAGCATGCCAAATGACACGTTGGTTCTGCTGTAATATGATGTGAAAGGGTGTCATTCATTGCTCTTCAGTGTCTAAAAGCCCCTTTTTTAACAGGTGGCTGTGACAGGCAGCGCTGTCACGGAGCAGCACTTTGGTGGTGTGTACATTTAGATTGGCTGCTCACTCAGGGGACCATTAAATAGCACTTCACTATAACTTATGATGCTTTAACTGGCTACCTATTTACCCTTTATGTGTTGTGTAGTGTTCCAAAGTACCTCGATATATCTAGAGGGAGCACTCTAAACACTTAGAGGAGCACACATAATATATTTGATGGGAATTAAAATAAAAATAAAGACAAATAAAAGCACAATTTAATATCTAGTCTCTTAAATAAGGCCCTGAATAGGGAAGAGAGATTTTTTTTTTCTGAACAAATATTTACGTGTTATGACAGTCTCTATGCATGTGTGATTACCTCCCTAAATAGCTAAGCTGTCTAATGTCAAGCTCTTCCTCTCTCTGTCTCTCTTCCAGCATTTGTCCTCTGTTGGAGCCCTTATTTTCTTTTTGATATCCTGGACAACTTCAACATACTCCCTGAGACTAAAGAGCGCTTCTATGCATCCGTGATCATCCAGAACCTGCCAGCCTTGAACAGTGCCATCAACCCCATCATCTACTGCCTCTTCAGCAACCACCTCTGCTCCCCTTTTGAGTATCTGTCACTCCGACTACCCCCTAAGAAGGGAGGACCACAAATACACCATCCCTAAAATGACTACCTATTTTTGCCTGTTTAAA